TAAAAAAAATTAAACTAAAGTCCATCTTACAGAGTTCTCTTATATAAGAGAAAAATGTACTAAGGATGTCATTCTTCCAGCAAGTTAGGAAATAAAATGCTTGTAACTATGTTACACAACTGAGTTACACAACTGTGAAATGGTCTTAACCTGGAAACTTACCAACAGCATATTTTGAAGCTTTGAATCTGTTCCACCTCCACTTAACCCTCTTTTTCTTGGAAAACTTAGGCCCTGCAGATTTTTGGCTCATGCATCTCCTGTTTCATTTATTTTGAAGGCTACATATTTTATTTACACAGAGACTCTATAATCACTGCATATCAATCATTGTATACAAGCCAAGAGAGGCCATCATACATGAGAGACGCCATTCAGATGGCAGGGAAGAGCTTTTTATTCAAAATAGGCTACTGGATTGCTGATTCCACACTGCCTCTTTGTTTATGTAAGTAAAGTACCCAATTAAGGACAAAACTATGGTCTAAATCCGACTGCTAGTCCCAACTACAGAAGATTCACTGCTGAAATCCAGTAATATCTGGAAAAGAGTAGGTTAATTGAATCAATGAAATTTATGGAAGCATTGATTTACCAAATCCCCACTGATTCAATGCATCTACTCTAATCATGACGTACTACTAGAGTTCAGCCACTGAATCAATCAATTGAGTCAATGCTTTTGTAAATGTCATGCATTCAATGATTCCACACTAGTTGGAATTACAATTGGATTTAGGACTATGGGATTAATTTGAAATGCAGTTTAGCTTTTAAGATGTTGGCTACCTATATAAATCTAATGTAAAAGATGTATAAATTCTGTTGGTGATGACTGGATTCAATTTTTAAAATCAAAGATATTAGCTTAATTTAGGCTTCAAAATCCCAGCACTGTGGATTATGTATCTAAAAGACTCTTCTGCTATATGAACCAGCCCACAATGTACAGTCCAGAAGTTCTGTATATGCCTAGTATTAAAGCTCTGCCAAGGGTTAAGTCCAAACAGAATAATGCACACTTGAGCAAGGACATGGAGTTGCACAACCTCAGCATCAAGATCTTTGACTATGAATTCTGCTTGAGTTGATGAAGAGACAGAGCATAGGTCTACATTAACCCTTATTATGTACCCATTTCAAAGAAAATCTGTGTAAGATAAGGAAATCTGTAAATATTTTAATTTATAAATAAATTTATTTACATTTTACCCAACAAAGAACCATTCCTTTTGCAAATACATTTTCTGTTGTCATACATTCTATAAAATCTACAAATGGCACAAAAATATCCTGAATAAGAATATGCAGTAAAGACAACACAAATAAGATTCTCACAGTACACAAAATCCACCCCATTGCATGGAGAATTTATAATGTCAAAATTAAAAATATTGTAAATGTTTATACATCACTCTTATTATATTAAAAAGCCAGTGTATTTAAAAAAATATTGTTTACCAGTATCCATCTATCTGGTCCATTTTGATGGGTGCCCATATCATAAAAGTGCAAAATCACAGTTTACAATACATAATGGGGAGAGGAGAGAAGAGTGCAATTCCCATGATAAAAAGTTGGACTGTCTGAATATTGGTAGAACGGGCTTAGGTTTTTGGTTTTTAAAATGTTATTCAAACTTTTTGTTAAGGTTAGTTTTTTATAAATATTGCTTAATAAGCTAAAATCAACTCCTAAATTCCATAGAGGTGGACAACTGTCACCCTCCAAATGCTGTTGGCCTGCAATTCCCACTTCTTCTGAAGTTACAATAGGGAACTTAGAAGATACTTCTCATCTATTTAGATTTTAATGATTATACCCATGCTATTTATGTACAGGTTAGTGCATATGACACTGATAGATTGGGATTAAAGTTTAGTGCTTATTCTTTAAAAGTACTACTTCTTTTCTACAAATGCACTGGTTCAAAATTTTAAAAAATGTATATTTTCAGGAGTGGGGTTTAACCAATTTCATCAGCAAATTTTATTTAAGACATATATAATACCTCCAAAATGACAGCAAGACATACGTATATAAAATGGCTAGCATGTACGAAGATATAAATTACTACAATGGTCATATGTATAAACAGATTAATCAATATGGAACTGAGAACCAATATCATGTCTTTATTCTGTCAATATATTAATTCTTTTTTGCATTTATTCAAATTCTAGTTGAAAGAAAATGTATTTTTATCTTCATATGATATCAACGTATTTCACCTTCAAGTTTTTTTGCAGCTAAAATTGACATTTTAATGCTACAGTGCAAGTTATGACAAAACATCTATTACTATGGCATGCAGCTTTCCAGATAAAAATATTTGTGGTCTCCCTCTGCAGAATGTAGCCCAACAATGTTTATTTCATAATGATTTGTATAAATAGCAAAAATCATTGCAGATACCATATTTATCAGGAGCTTTCTTCCCGGGATCAGCCCTACTACAGAACCTACATGAAAAGATGCTGAAAATATAGATACACGCTTGCCCCACTAATAAATAAAGCTATAGATATCACTATGGCCCAATCTTTGTTCATATTTTTATCTCTTGCCCTAGTTCTTTGTAAAGTGTAGAAAAACAGATCAATACTAACTTTTTTTAAAAATCGCTAGCCCTGTGTAAGCTTTCACACTTCACAGAGCTCTTTTATCAGTCTCAATTACAGGTCAATAACAAGCATTGAAAGCTGGGGAGGAGGGGAAGTGATTTTCTGGACATGGTGGAAAAGTGCAAGTGTTTTTTGGAAGAAGGAAAAGGCAAGTGTTATTTTGCTAACAAGGCTTTTTTTGGATTCCACTCTTTGTCCAGTATGGCTACTTTTTTTCTCTGTAGACCTTTATAGCACATGAAGCTAAGACTTCACTCTCAAAAGGTTTATCCTCTCCAGTCACTACCCAATTTGGCTTTTACTGGTTTTTCTTTTTTCGTCTAGTTCACCATCTGAAATTCTCTCTCTCTTGTTTAATACAGAGACAACTTCATTTTCCTCTTGATTTCTACTGATGTACAAGTCAATGAGCTTCATCCAGAATGCAGACAATTAGCTGAGTCCGCAGCTAGATTTATCAAATATGTATTTTGCAATCGTGCAGAATCACTTTTTCCTGTCCTTCTTCTCCTAAAAGGTACAGGAAGAAACTAAAACAATCAAATCACTTGCAAACCCTTGTTTGAATGTCTGAAGGTGTCCTCTCCCTCATTTTAACTCAAGAAACAAACAAGACAGAAAACATGACTTCAAAGTAAAGTCAGCATGTACTCCAAAACATCTTCCCCCTCCCCACATCCATCCATCCATCCATCCATCCATCCATCCATCCATCCATCCATCCATCCATACATACATACATACATACATACATAAAGGGAAAAACCAGAGATCTGTTCAAAAGAAATTGGAGATATTAAAGGAATCTTTTGTGCAAAAATGGACATGAAAAAGGACCAAAATTACAGAAGCAAAAGACATCAAGAAGAGGTGGCAAGAGGAACTATATCTGAAGGACAGAGGAATTATATCAGAAAGATTTGGATATCCCGGACAACCCAGATAGTGTGGTTGCTGACCTTGAGCCAGACATCCTGGAGAGTGAAGTCAAGTGGGCCTTAGAAAGCATGGCTATCAAGGCCAGCAGAGGTGATGGCATTCCAGTTGAACTATTTAAAATCTTAAAAGATGATGCTGTTAAGGTGCTACACTCAATATGGCATCAAGTGTGGAAAACTCAGCAGTGGCCAGAGGATTGGAAAATATCAGTCTACATCCCAATCCCAAAGAAGGGCAGTGCCAAAGAATGCTCCAACTACCGTACAAGTGCACTCATTTTTACAGGCTAGGCTCAAAATCCTACAAGGTAGGCTTCAGCAGTATGTGGACCAAGAACTCCCAGAAGTACAAACTAGATTTCACAGGGGCAGAGGAACTAGAGACCAAATTGCTAACATGCACTGGATTATGGAGAAAAACAGAGAGTTCCAGAAAAACTTCTGCTTTATTGAGCATGCAAAAGCTTTAGACTGTGTGGACCACAGCAAACTATGGCAAGTTCTTAAAGAAATGGGAGTGCCTGACCACCTTATCTGTCTCCTGAGAAATTTATATGTGGGACAGGAAGCAACATTTAGAACTGGATACGGAACAACTGATTGGTTCAAAATTGGGAAAGCATCTACCTGCTTATTTAACTTATATGCAGAATACAGCATGCGAAACACTGGACTGGATGAATCCCAAAATGGAATTAAGATTGCCAGAAGAAATATCAAGAACCTCAGATAGGCAGATGATACCACTCTGATGGCAGAAAGAGAGGAGGAATTAAAGAACCTCTTAATGAGGGTGAAAGAGGAGAGCGCAAAAAATGGTCTGAAGCTCAACATCAAAAAACTAAGATCATGGCCACTGGTCCCATCACCTCCTGGCAAACAGAAGGGGAAGATATGGAGGTAGTGAAAGATTTTGCCTTGTTGGACTCCATGATCACTGCAGATGGTGACAGCAGCCATGAAATTGAAAGACTACTGCTTGTCGAGAGGAAAGCAATGACAAACCTAGACAGCATCTTAAAAAGCAGACACATTTCTTGCCGACAAAGGTCCGCATAGTCAAAGCTACATTTTTTCCAGTCGCAATGTCTGGAAGTGAGAGCTGGACCATAAAAAGGACTGACCACTGAAGAATTGATGCTTTTGAGCTGTGGTGCTGCAGGAGGCTCTTGAAAGACCCCTGGACTGCAAGGAGAACAAACCTATCCATTCTAAAGGAAATCAACACTGAGTGATCACTGGAAGGACAGACCCTGAAGCTGTGGCTCCAATACTTTGGCCATCTCATGAGAAGAGAAGACTCCCTGGAAAAGCCCGTGATGTTGGCAAAATGTGAAGGCACGAGGAGAAGGGGACGACAGAGGACGAGATGGTTGGACAGTGTCATTGAAGCTACCAACATGAATTTGACCAAACTCTGGGAGGCAGTGGAAGACTGGAGGGCCTGGCGTGCTCTGGACCATGGGATCACGAAGAGTCTGACATGACTTAATGACTAAGCAACAGCAAGCATGTGTATGCATATCTTCATGAAAAAGCCACCACTGTGCATACATTTTCCCCTTATTTAAAACAGGGGAGACAACTCATGCAGTCCCAAAGACCATTTTCCAGCTCCCCTACCCTACAAAACTGCGCTGTTGAAATTCAGTGTCAGGTCTTACTGCCAACATCTACCAAAGGTATTTAAACAATCCTTCTCTTTCCATTTTTATGGCTTTTTTATGGCTTTTCCAAAATTTCCCACCAAACTTTGGCAAGCTGACAGCCCATGGAATGAGTCATGGGTGAAGAGCCCCCCGCCCAAGTTCCCCCCTGCACTAAATCTTCTTAATGTATGTTCTTCAAATATATGCTTTTCAGTCTTGTACATTTTTCAAAGGTATATATGGTGCTGTGCATATTTCTTTACCTAATTAAGTACATACTGCAAGCTGGGGAAAAAGCAGATTGACAAATTTCCCTTCCATCACATTTTAAATCTCAGGATGTGCAAAATGGGTACTTCCATAGATAAACACAAACAGCAAGAATTTTTCCATCTTTAATTACAAGCAAGACAAAGCTCTGAGCTGATTCCAAATTCCATCCTCCTGTTTCTTCCACACTATCTATCTTTACAGAGTTTTTTAAAAAAACCTCTATTTCTAAAAGGATGTAATTCTGACTTTTCCATCTAAGAGGCATGAGGTCTAAACCCCATTGAGCAGTACATTCAGAACCTAGAAGTCCCAGACTGGAATTTTTAAAGATGATTTTATTCTGAGAACTTAGAAAATGAAATGCTTCCAATCTATCATGACCATCTGAAAGACATTTTACACCAAATGAATCACTTTGTGTCTTTATCAGACTAATTTCAAGCCTCCACCTAAAAGAGGAGATTCTACCAGTGGATGACAAAGTACACAGTCAGATGAAATTGTACCAGCTCTGCATCTATTGCATCTACACCAGTTGTGTAGCATCCTTCTGCCCATATATCTCCATCAGTGGATCAGGGCACCAGAGAGGTCTAACATCACAAATAGAGATTGGAATATCTGAGTATCCCCATGCAGCTGGAGTTAACAATGGTCCAGCTCCTGAGGCCAGCTGTCCACTCACACGTCTGCCACCACCACTGGCCCTGCTCATCCTTCCAATTGCTCTTGAGTCTTCCCAGTCATCTAGCCACTTGTGGCAGAGGGAGGGAGGACAAGTCTCCCTGCAAGGCCCCAAGTGGCTAGCCAAGCGCTCTTAAGTGATTGGAAGGAAGAGAGGAGACACTGCCGCCGCCACCACCGAATGTGTGAGTGGATGGTGTGGCCCCAAGGGCGGGACCTTCATTAACTCCAGCTGCACCGGGATATTCACATTCATACACAAATACCCCATCTCTAGTCAAAAACAAAAAACATGAGTACCTGCAAACAAAAAATGCTAATACAGACAGGAATCACAGGGAATTCTGTGAGTACTAATCCATTTCACAGTTAGTATTCCACAGCATTAGGGAGCATAAATAATACAATTGCAGTGCAATAGAAATCATAATCTGGAGCATAATTATTTGCAAACTCCCCCAGGTAATGCAGGCAAAGGGCAGCGAGCAATACGAAAGCAGTATTTATGACTTCCATCAATCCTCTTGGAGTAGTAAGTGATCAGAAATATAGTGACAATGAAAGCAAATAATATAAAAGACATAAAAGCTAGCAGAGATTTTCTTGGTTGGAAAGAGTCACATTCTGGGCAGAGAATAAGCTCCTTGGAACAAACCAGGTTGGATGCTTCTGGTCCAGGGAAGGTGTTATTGTCAATGATCTGTCTATAATGCATCATGGAAGGCTTTGGCTCATACCGATTAACCACGTAACGATAGAGGCCATATGATCTAGCATCACCTCTATCACTGAAAGAATAGACAAAATAGCCACGGAGATTAACATTATCCAAGGTATAGGCTGCAAAAAAGAACAAAAAAGGAGAAGAGAAAGGACACATTAGTTGTGTTTTTGTTTTAACTGTCCTGTACCCTGCTGAATGCTGCAAGAGAGCCCTCGGGAGTCATATTGATTCCTACCAACAGAGAAAGCATCTGTGTCACGACACTTTAGTACAACTACAAAGTATTTATCAACAGAGGAACAGAAAGGTGAACACACAATAACAAAGCTGCTTTGGTCTATTTAAATCAGGGGCAATCAGATTTCAGGCTAGTAGGATATATTTAGTTTCTTACTGCACCCTTAAGATCAACCAACTGCAACAAAACATACACTAGGAATTGCACGCACACACAGAGAGAAAAACCCAAGACAGCAGATGCTGAATAAAATTGGTTAGTTTTTAAGGGGACCTAAGACTCTTTTTAAGAAAAATTGTTGCTAGAAAAGACTAACAAAGCTACCTTTCTGGAAATTAAGAATTAAGGAATTCTAATCCCAGTAAGTGATAATGAATCTCAGAATGCTACTGCTATCATACTTTTTCCATTGAAAAAATATACTGTATCTATTCATGGTTACTCTAAGCCTTTTGTGGTGTGCAGTTATTGTGCTGTAGCTATGGTTAAAAAGGGATGTCCAGTGCAGCGGAGCGGACAGAGCAACAGACTAGGACTCAGAAGCCTACTCAGCCATGGAAACTCACTGGGAATGGGAAATTGTAAAAACACTCCTTAAATATCTCACTTACCTTGGAAGTCCTGTTAGGGTCGCTATAAGTCAGTTCTGACTCGAAAGCTCATACATAACAAGAACAATTCTTAAAAAACAAGGAGTCAGGAATACTTGATTATCACCTACAAATCATCCAAAAATCCACTAATGCTTCTATAATCACCTTCTAAACCTGCTACTACAATACCTTCCACTACAGTAGTCACAACATAATGTTGGCTTGATGGAGTCCACCACTGTCTTCCGTGGTCAGATGCAGATCTTCTGTATGTCATCATAAGTTCTATTTAGGCATTACTGAATCTGGACAGAATAAACACAAACGAAGGGGAAGCAGGCTAGCCTCAACCCATCCTGGCAGGCTGACCTCACTGACCATGTGGAAAGTGACTTTCTGAAGATTCCTTCATCCATGGAGGCTTGCTATATCATCCAAATACTGAATATGCCATGTTCCAACTTCCATGGAGAACCTCCATGAATAAACTAGTTCTCTGCTTCAGAAAGTTACTCTTTACATGTAGAACTCAAAATGATGAAAGACAGGAAAAGGCTATTGTATGCAGCCTTGTTGCATCATGAAAATATTCGCATGCAATAAGGTTGGGGATTTCTACAGGATTTTTCAAAAAACTAGAGGTGTAAAAGACTGAACCTGAAATGTATTACTAGGAAGCATTACTTTCTGCCAGTGTGCTGTGTAGCACTAAAGGCCTTAGATTTGTGGCTAATCGCCAAGCTAAAGCTAAATCTTTTATTGCCGCGTAGGGAAGGGTTTTGGTAACTGCAAAATATGTCAATTGTCCTTTCCTCCATTCTTTAACTTCCCAGATGGTGCAGGGCATAGAAGCTGGTTTCCTAACTCTCATGGTGTGTAGTGAAAATTTTCTAAATCAGATTTACATCCTTCTCTCTTACATACCCTTTTCTTCCCTTTCAACCCCTGTTCAACTACTGTCAACATTCTGTGGCTCTTAAAGGTCATAAACCAAGAATGGTGGTCCTCCTCCCTTTTCATTTTACAGATTTTGTATACCTGTGGGGTATTCTGCTGAACATGTAGAATCTTGTGGTTCTGTTTAAGCATGAGCCCTGAAAACTGTGGCGCGATAACGATGTAGTGGTGGTGCAGAGAAAGAGGTAAGCTCTGCCCCCACCATCCTCACCACACTTGGAGCTACAGGTAGTACATGTAGGAAAATTCAGCTGAATGTACTTAATGCATTTCTGTTAAAGATGTGGAGAATATCACTAAATCATTCTCATTCTTGATTATTTTCCCAGTGTCATCAAGCCAAGGTTCCTTGCCAAATCTTCTCTCTGCACCAATAAGAATTCCCAGTTTCCCCGTGTCTCTTTTTCCCCATTACTATTATTACTGCCTGTTCTTTTGCACAAAGACATTGCCACGTTCTGCACAGCTCAGTCCCTTTTCCAGAGAATATTTCATAGGGGGGGAAAATGCTACCTCATGCGGAAATTCTAATAATTCTACAGTGATTAGTGTCACAATCACTTCTCCCTAAAGAGATGATGATCTTGGTCAGGGAGTCACTGTGGATGCAAAACTACCACTTTTATTACTTGAGGTATCTCTTTAGGGAGAAGTGATTGTGACAATTAGTATGGAAATGTTTGCCCCTCCAATAATGAACCAGGCATGGCAAAGTTGCCATCCCTTTCTGGGCCTTTGTTATCTTGCAATAACCATTCTTTCATTAGGTTGCTATCTATACAACATGCTGCAACAGGTACTAGTTTCTCAGCAACTGGAAATACAAACACATACTGAATTTACAGTACTTCTCTGGAGCATGAACTTCTGCTTCTCTAGAACAAGACAGGGTGAGAGGAGTATAGAAATGAATATGTTAGTATAATGGCTTCCAGAAGCAGACTAGACGTTCTGAGTCCAAATAAATACTTATTTTCTCAGGAGTCCAGGTAAAAAAAGCTATTATGCCACCTTTCAAAAGATGCCGGTGTAACTTCTTATGCTTTGACTTTGTAAAAACCTGTTTTTCAATTCATTCACTTTTGGAAAACCACATTACATATCATGTACACTGTCCAGAAAACTTGAATCATAAGGCATTTAAGCTTTTCCCCAGGACACTCACCTTTTAAGGCCTCGTTGATATATTTCTCAATGTAATATATTCTCAATTTGTCTTGAGCTATACTCTGTTCGTCATCGATTCCACTCGCGATGATGTAAATGGGGATGTTGCCATATTTATTCTTAACCCATTTGAGGAGCCTGCGTAATCCCCAGGGCACCACGGGATTTCTGTTGGGTGATTTTACCCAGGTGATATCAATTTGCATTTGGATCTCGAGGAGGTGATTGTACTTCATGGGAGCTTCGTTTTCCGAGTTCACGAGAAATGTAGTGTAGTGACTCAAAGCAAAGAAATCAAAGGAACCACGTATTAGATTTCTTTCCTCTTCTGAGAAATATGGTAAGTATGAATTATAAAAACCCAGGCTGTTCCTCTGATGAAGCCATTGCCTCATCACATCTGGATAGTCACCAGTTCCAAAGATGGGCTCAGCAAGCCAGCCAATGTCAAATTCTAAAACTCGTTTGGCCGCATCATCATCATTTTTTGAAAAAGGACAAGCTGGCTCAACCCAGTTGGCATGGAACGCAATGGATATTTGACCTTTCTGAATCTTCCTGAATGTCTTATCATAGAGGTGCCATACTCTGGCATGAGCCTTCAGCAAATTATGTGCTTCTGGGTATGTCACATTCATCACATTGGGTTCATTCATTGTGATCCAAAATTTGATGTGCTGCCCAAGATTCTTAAAGCAGAATCTAGCATACTCAACAAAAGCCTCCACAGTATACTGGTTCCTCCATCCACCTTGTTTGGCTAGTGAAACAGGAAGTCCTTGGTGTTCAGCACTAGGTTGCCATAAAGCAACAACAGGAGTTATATTAACCCTGAGAAGTTCACTAACAAAACACCGATAGTAAAACAGAAGTGTGCGGTTAGCAGATGTCTCATTAACTGAAGGGAAGATCAAAGGCCATTTCAAAGAAAAATGAAAATGTGTGATGTGCATTTCTTGGAGTAAAGAAATCTGAAGCCGGATAGCAGGAAGATCAACACAATGAAGCTTGCGATGTGGGGCACTGCCTCCATCAATTTTAATCAGCTTCTGGGTTTTATGCACATCCCAGACATAAATATTTGGATCAAGGAACTGGGATCGAGTTGTATCTACCTGGAAACAGGGAGAAGGACAGGAGAATAGATTCATTTTGTCAGAAATAAGAAAAGACATTGCCAGAAACATATGCTATAGATAATCCATAATTAAGGCACATGAGAGTTGGTGACTGGTTCTGGCTGATTGTCATGTTTAAAGCATCCCATAACTAATCTGTCCAGAGCTAAAAGTAGTTCCTGCTGTGGCACTCAAAAAGAATCAGTCATTACAGATTTTCCTCTTCTAACTGTGGATTATCTATAACATCTGTTTCTGCCTCAAGCAATTGACTGTTACAGGAAAACACCCCCCATTTCATCTTCATTCAATACAGTAGCTTTTCCATATTTCTCTTTCATATCTTAAGATCCACTTTTATTTGTTACACTTATATTCCACCTTTCTCCCAATAAGCTCATTGTAACAATCTTCCAATGAACTCACCATCTTGCACTCAAGTTGAGCCTACATGCACTTCTACACACATCAGCTGTTCGTGAGCAGTGAAAATGAAACCATGTTTTGATCTTACCAAAGACTGAGTAATGGGCTTTTTCCTTTTCCTCCAATTACATGATATTGGCTTTAACCAGCCAGGTGCAGTAACTGCTGTGTTATCAGTGCTTCCAAATAATTCAATATATACTATGTGAGATCACCTGGGGATACATCATAGGCATGAGTATACGCATGTACCATCAGTCTATTTTAACACAGAGACTAAACCCAACTAGAGTAGATTCACTGAAATCAATGGACTTGCATTAGTGGCCATTCAGCAAGTCACATTCATTTCATTCAATCAACTCTAATTAGACTAAGACTGGACTTAGTTCAGAGTTTATTATTTGGGCACTCTATTTTGAATTATTCTGCAAGTGGCACTCATAATACTTAAAATTGATTGTTATATGTATATATATCAGGTGTTTCAATATAATACCGTACTTGGGTTGTAATCCATGTACACCATTTGGATTTTTTAAAATGTAGTCTGCATCACATTTATTTGCTGATATCAGTTTGCTAATGCAAATGAAAAGTACAGGAAGATCAAAATACAATAGGACCCCTGTATCCACAAGGCATCCATTCCATGATCTGCCATGAATGCCTGAAACTCTGGAGCAGCAAACCCTATATACAACATACAAAGAGTCTGGAAGTTGAGTCATGGTAACTGGACTTCTTTCTTATTAGTCTAAAGAAGCTACTTGGATGAGTAGTGAAACATTTTAACTTAATAAAAAAGAAGTCCTCTTGCCATGACTCAACTTCCAGGTAACCTCACCTGGATGACTGAGAATCTTCACAGAAACATACAGTACAAGGAGGAAGAATAAAGGTCACAATTGGGGTGGAGGGACAAAAGCCACAAGGGTCGCCCCTTTGTATGTTGCATATAGGGCTGCAGATAACTGAAACTAATCCTGCAGATATGGGGGTCCTAGTGTAGTTTAAAGATATTATAGAAATTATTTACAGGAAATGTTTTCAGAAGTACACTGAATTTAAGTCACAGACTCAAGAAAGAGAAGACATAGAAATAAATAGCTTAGATATAGAAAGCATATTTATTTTAATCAACTTAGGGATTGAAATCCTATTATCCAGCTATATAAAAGGCATAATTTTTAGCAGCGAATTGCTGTAATTTAAGAGATCTCTGTACGCTTTATACGTTGGACATCAAATTGCACGATTTAAAATGCAACAGATAATGTCTATGGAAATTTCTTAAGTTATGGCACTTCACCACTTAAAATTATGTCTCTTGCATCACCAAAGAACATTAATTCTGAACACAATGTAAATTGATATGAGAAATGAATGTCAATGAATTATGAACTGCTGGATAGCTCAGTGGTTTAGGCATCTGGCTGTGGAGCCAGAGGTTGGGAGTCTGATTCCCCACTGAACCTCCTTGATAGGAGCTGGACTCGATGATCTATAGGGTCCCGTCCAGCTCTGCAATCCTAAGATTATTATTAATAACAATCTTAGTGGTTTAAGGAAAACAAAAGCTCCATCTGGAACAGCCCTTCTTTGCTTGCAGCAATGCAATTTTGGAGGATTTGATAGATTGCCATCTGACTCACCTGAAGAAAATTTTCAGTAATCCCCCAAGCAAAGTCACATGGGAAAGTCCCTTTTATGAGCTGGTTTTCTGGTACTGCAGGGAAACCATTGTCCTCTATCAGCCTTTGAAAGAAGAGTCCTGAAGACTTCAGCATCAACTTTTTATCTGGGCTTTGAAAGTCAACATAAAACAAACCCCGTCTAATGCTGTAGCCTCTGAGCCATTCAAAGCCATCCATGAGAGACCAAACTGTGTAGCCAATGACAGTAACTCCATCATATCTGATAGCTGAGGAGGAAGAACAAAGCAAAATAGCCCGATTTGCCCATGTGTGAGGCACTGCATGTATTTCAACAGCTATATCGGCATTACAGAAAATGCCACCGCTTAAATACATTACTTACCCAACAGTTTTTCAAAATATGATAGCTTTATCCTGTCACATTCATCAATCTTAAGTGTTCCCAGGAAATGCCTGGGTCAAATCAAGGATGTTGCCTCCCACAACAGAAAATGCACCCCTGGAAAAGCTTTCATTCATTTTAATAGTAATATTTTAATTTAGCATAATAGGTATCCACATTAATCTGGAGATAAGCAACAAGGTCAGAGCCTGTTGCCTTTATAGCTGAACTAATAAAAATTACAATGGCCAGAATCCATGTCTTTGTTATATGTCTGGTCATGCACCTGAATGCACAACCATAATGTGCCATAGCACATATCAATTAGCTGCAATTACTCACAGGAAGATATACAAACCTTATATGAATACCAACAGAATTGTAACAGAGGCCATTTCTTTTCTGCCCTTCATCAAAATGGTTTTAGAATTAAAAACTGACATAAATATAAAGCAAACTTAATTTGTAGCAGGGAAAAGAAATGTAGCTTAGGTACTATTTCTAAAAGAAAACTGTCTCTATCAACTGATGCACTCAGCAAATATTCAAGGCCCTTTTCACATTAATATATATAGCGATATACATGAATGAAGTACCATTTTGTAAATCTGCTGTGAAAAGAGAGTAAGTACTCCATTTTCATGTCTTCCTTACTGGAAAATGAATTCTTGCACCTGGTAGAGAATCCAAAAATTTTACTGCGCGTGCGCACACACACACACACACACACACACACACACACACACACACACACACACACACACACACACACACACACTTTTATATTTTTATTTATTTATACACACACATACATACACATACACACACACTTACATATAGAGTATTTATCCTTATCTAGCAAATATTTAGTCAGCTGTCTGAAGCATTAAAATTAATAACTGGGTATTTTTCCCCGAAGCCATTCACTGCAAACTACATAACAAAGTACACAAACAACACAAAAGCTACATTAAGAGAACATCTTCATTCCTTGCTGTGACAGTGAAACATCACCCACATTTACTGAAAAGCACTAGGCAATGATAGCAGCAAGTAACTCTGATTTCTTTGGAGACTCATTCTGTACCAAACACTGGAATAAATGTTCAAATATTCACTGGGTTTAGCCTTTGTGCAACATTTTTAATTAACATCACTAGGGACCATTAACGTTTCCTTAACTATTGTGTCAGGATACTTATAATGGCAAGAATAATGATCAGCAATCCTACCTTTCAAAGTATCTGTAATGAAATCTTTAAGATAATTCATGTACTTGGAGTCATCTGTCTTCGTGCTGCTAGAAATGAGCCAGCTGTTCTCCACAATGAAGATGGGTGGGTTGTTATATTCCTTGCTTATCCAGTAAAGCAATGGCCGTAGGCTCAGAGATTCTTGCTGCCCAAACATCATGTCAGAATCCACAAGGTGGAAACTCAAAGTAGCTCCAAAAGAAAGAGCAAAGAAATCAGCTGTTCCCCTAAGAAGCTTCTTTTCTGTTTCAGTGAATTCTGGCAGGACTGAGGAAAGAGAATTCTTCATACTTTGCGGGTAGTCTCCATCAACAAATATTGGCTTGGCAAACCAACCCAGCACAAAGTCCAGAGACTTTTGGCATTCCTTTACATCATTTCCAGTCATTTTTTTAGGTTTTATCCAATGAGAACCTAAGGCAATTGATACTTTACCTCCCTGAGCAGGACGGAAATGATCGTTGTAAAGATGCCACACTTCGGCATGGGCCTGCCAGAAAGAAAAGGCCCAGTTAATGCACCGTACTTCATTCGTTCGTTTTCATGTTTTACACATCTTTATTCATTTAGTGTACAATCAAATACTGTAACTGCCATTTAACCAGCTATATAGGTCTCATGGTGGTTATGGAGGTCATATATAATCAAAATTCAATTTTAGCAGCTACAGGCATAATAAAGTAAATAGGTCAGCGTTACTACTATCAATTTACTTTGCCAATCTGGAGAGAGATCCAACAGCCATCTTATTCCAGATTTACTAAGCATATTGTTTGTATGTTGTTTTGTACCATCCTCTAGTTCATGGACTGAGCAGAGATGTTTCATCCCAAAACTAGGGAGGTACCCCACCCACGTTGGGTGTGAGCCACCTATGTAGCTCATGTACAAAATAACTTGGTAGGTTTGGGGTACTAAAGTTTTTGACCTGGCTCAGTAATTCCATTTTCTGTTCCACATCAGGACCACAATGTTTTGTGTTGTCCATCATTTGCCTTTTAACCAAACTGAAAAAAGTCAACAAAACTAAAACCTTGAAACATTACATTTTAAAACATTATTATTTTTAAAGTAAGGGAACAGCATTAATCATTAATCTGCTAAAACTGTGGAATACTATTTAACCGCAATACTGCATCATGATCATTTATACAGATACGACCATAGCTAGATCTTTTCTCTCAAGAAATGGCCTGATTGGTGCACCATCTTAAACTAGGTAATGCTACTTCTTGAGACTTCCTCACGTTGCTCCTCACCCATAACCCTCTGTTAACGCATTTTACCTGTATGGTAAATCCTGGATGGATTTCAGTCATAGATACATCGGGTAGTCAGGCAGTTTTTTCAGTACCATGCTAGCCTAGACCAAGATAAAAGCTGCATCCACCTCTACAGTCCTTTGCTTTGTTGGAACAATGTAGTAATAATTAAATGCCCTTATAATGACCTTTTCTAGGTTTCCTAGTTATACAAATTCTCAGAAGTGGTTTTACCACTCCCTTTTTTCTAAGAGTGCTCTGGGGCTGATCAGCTTGCCCAAGGCTACAAAGGTTATCCCTTCAACCAGAAGGAACTACAGGGAATCAAGATGCCAACCACTGACTCCACAGCCAGGTAACCAACTCACTGAGCCAACTTAATTATATACTGTCATGTTAATTTTCATTTAGGATGGCCCTTTCCTGATTTCTTAAGCATAGGGTACTCAGAAGAGGTTTACAGTTCCCTTCTTCTGGGGGTGCTCTGGGACTGTGCAGCTTGCCCAAGGCCAAACAGGCTGTCTCTTCTCCTAGGAGGCACAAAACGACACATATGATCCATATTTATATTTTAGCAAGGCAACTCTACAGTTGAGGTCAAAGTGTGCTCCATAGTTAGAGGGACCAACATATACAACACACACTAACAGACGCTCGCAGTGGGACAAATCTGGCAGTAGTATGGGTGGGGAATGGGATGACTCCTGGATTGTCTGGATCCAAAGCCTTATGTCCTCCCTATGCTGCACCTACAATCCACTCCTTTTCACCTTCAGGGTTCCAATGATGGAAAATGGGTGAGGGCAATGGATCCTTCCACAGGATAGTGAGATGTCAACATCCAAGGTCGAAGGTCTCTCTCCAGCTCTGAGTGGGAAGAACTAGTCTTTCCTATGGTCTATGAATGAGACATATCCAAGAGACCATGTGACTGCACTGATTTAGATTGCTTTAATACAGTACTTTTTCTATGCTTCCCTGAAGGTTTACCGCCTGACAGAACAGACAGTGTTCTGAAAACACAAAAAATATCTGTTTCTTCATAAGTACATGAGACAGTACTTACAACAGCCAGACTATTTGTCTAGTATCATCTATTGTAACTGACAGCAGTTCTTCAGGGTTTCTGGCAAAGACCTTTCACAACATCTTCTATCCAGTCCCTTGTTAATAGGAGATGTTAATTGGGACTTTCAGCATACAAAACACATACACAACCACCCTCCTTAGGAAGTGAAAATCAAGATCTGAGGTAACTTTAAAAACATACACAATACTGTATGCCATTTTTGGCATTAAATCTCCTTCTATACTAAGCCTGTATTGTGAAGATCTTTTTTAAAAAGTATATTTTTAAAGATCTTCGCAATATATTTATTGTGTATATTTAATATATTTAGAACAGATTTTTTGGAAGTTTTTTCTTCTTTTCCTTGAATATATCTATGATCATTAAAACATCAGTTATCCAGATTTTTTGGAAGTTTTTTCCTCTTCTTTTCCTTGACTATATCTATGATCATTAAAACATCAGTTATCTCAGATGATAATTTGTTAGTATGTAAAAATCGGTCACTACCTAATACACAAGGTGAGGAACTGCACTGTTTAATTGAATTCATTGTGCTAGTTTCATTGAGCACATTTATCAAAGATAATGCCTGAAAAGTCAGTAATAAGACAATGGGTAATTAACCTAATCATTAATGCAATGAATTTGCAGGCCCATGTAGCCAAATGCAAACGATGACAAGACTTTTATATCTCAGAATGATCAATGATTTTAAGACCTTGGAAACAGAAACCCAAGGAATATCCTTTATATTTATATTTATGCATACTCCTCTCTTCATGTATATTTACATACTGTACATAGATCTTTGAATATTTTTCTACATCTCTCTCTCTTTTAAAAGTCTTGTAAAATAATTAAGTTAAATGTCTGGCCAGGTACTAACTTTCTGGGTAACCTACCTCACTGGGTTATCGTGCAGAAAGGAAGCTATGTACTGGAAAGAAAACAATTGGTGCTGCTTTGCCTTGGAGGAAAGACGGTATGTAAATACAACCAGGCAGTCCAATCAGTAAATACGTTTCTTCAATAAGTGAATCCAAAATAAATCCAGAATGCTATTAAATACTTATGTAACCATTTGTTCTGCATCAAGAGCAACAGTGCCTGTAGTTCTAGCAGTTTAAATGCTAATATTTTTAGGACATGCTAGTATATAATACAAATCAATTCTGAATCATGCCACTTCAAATTCTACTCCTCATGGCATTTGAAATGCCCAGCGTTGAAGTTCAGGTTGTTTTCAGTGCTTCTCTATGTAATAATAATTGTGTGCTGTCAAGTCAATTCTGCATTTTCAGGATTTTCTAGCTAGAAGCTACTCAGAGGTGGTTTACCCTTCCCTTCTTCTGGGGCGCCCTGGGGATGGGCAGCTTGCCCAAGGACACACAGGCTCACTCTACTCAGGAGGCACAGTGGGGAATCGAACTCCCAGCTTCTGGCTCTATAGCTAGATACCTAACCCATTGAGCTAAAGGAAACACAAAACACTGTCTTGAAATATAGCCACAAGAAACACAAATTCAAAAACAATTCATCAGGGTATCTTGGTGTTTCAAATGTATAGTACTTGAAAATATTGTTTTCAATATACCCAAAAATGCCACTCTTCAAATCATGTAAAATATTCATAACTGTATTTAGAGTTCTTGCAAATGTACAACTTCAATGTCATTGACTACCAAACAGGTTAACACCTGTTTCAATACTCAAAACATTACCACTATAGACATTTTAAATTATACACACACAAACACAGAAACACACACACACACACAATGAATCTATCCAAGTTCATCCAAGGAGTGAATGCAATGCCACTAATTTGTTTTGCGGAAACTTGGAATTTGTTAGATGACTTATTCAGAAAAATAAATAACTTATTTCCACAGAGAACGAGTCCAAAATCCAAACAAATATACTGGTAGGTTTAAAATAAACTATGTTTTAGGAGAAGACAGGAGGGCCTGGCATGCTCTGGTCCATGGGGTCACAAAGAGTCGGACACGATTTAATGACTAAATAACAACAATGTTTTAGGATCGGCAGCCCTGGTTAGTAGCGGGATGAGAAGCCTTCTGGGAATCCCAGGTGCTGTACACTTCTATCCCCCCTTCCATTTAATATAGTAAAGTGTAATAAAGCAAGAGAGAAGGAAAACAAACCAATGAAAATGCTGAAACTGAATGGTTACAAATGGGAAGCCAGACTAAGGATGAAGCTTTGCAAAGAGAGAGTTTCTGAACCATCCATTTCTGAAAACCTTCTCCATTCCTAATCCAACTATGGAAACCCCATAGAGAGAGTGTAGATAGAGTGACAGACTCTGGAGGCCTGCCTTTGAATCCCCGGCCAACCATGGAAGCTCACTGAGAGTGTGGAACTAATGGTTACAAATGGGAAGCCAGACTAAGGATGAAGCTTTGCAAAGAGAGAGTTTCTGAACCATCCATTTCTGAAAACCTTCTCCATTCCTAATCCAACTATGGAAACCCCATAGAGAGAGTGTAGATAGAGTGACAGACTCTGGAGGCCTGCCTTTGAATCCCCGGCCAACCATGGAAGCTCACTGAGAGTGTGGAACTGATAAAACCAGTGTAGATAGAGTGGCAGACTCTGGAGGCCTGCCTTTGAATCCCTGGCCAACCATGGAAGCTCACTGACAGTGCGGAACTGATAAAACCACTCCTTAAATATCTCACTTACCATGAAAGCCCTATTACAGCCATTCTAAATAAGTTCTGACTTGACAGCACATAACATAACATAATCCAACTATGCCTATGGAAAGCGATCTTTCTCTCCATGTTGCTAAAGAGAACAGCATGAGACAGAACTTTATTGCATCATCTCCTCCTACCATAAACTTTGATCATATGGGGTCAAGTCAACCATTTTTGCTAGAGCCAGGATTAAAAGCTAATCACACACGCGAGGGATGTTGCAGTTAATACAGATTCTATGCTGCAGGTGTCATTAGCCATTCCTTGTTCCAAGTGCTTCTCAATATGTTTCCATCACAGGTGCCAAGGGGGTTGAGCTGATGAGAAATAGGTATGGGTGAGGATTCAATTTTGATTTGGTTTTGTTAAAAAACACAAAACTCTTTAATTTAAGAATGAATATGCAATTTTAAAACATTAGTATATGGAAGAAACAGACACTGAGAGATCTTAGAAAAGCAGAGCTAAAAGGGATCCTATGGATCATCAAGTCCGGCCCCTGTCAAGGAGGCACAATAAGAAATCAGATTCCCAACCTCTGGCTCAGACCTAAACCACTGAACTATCCAGTAGTTCATTCGTCCACCAAGTACGTGAGCTTTGAGTGCTTAGAAGTCTGAATTTCTATGTAATATATAATCGTATAAATTCTGCATTAGCATTATCATATTTTAAGAAGTCTCATGGTTCAGTGGTTAAACTCCAGTACTGTAGCTAAAATTCTTCTCACGACTTGAGTTTGATCCCAAATGGATTAAGGTAGCTGGCTCAAGGTTGATTCAGCCTTCCATCTTTCCAAAATTGGTAAACTTAGTACCCAATTCGCTGGGAGGGAGGGCAATGTGTACTCTGCAGAGTTATATTATAAACCACCCAGAGCATGCATTAAGCACTATGGCTGGAATATAAACAGCACACTTTTATATAGGCTCTTCATCTTTACTGCCTATACATAACAAACACATACAATACCCTCCCTGTTTGGGAATATTTCTGCTTTCTGAATTTGACCAGTGCAAACGGCTGAGAATTTTGTTTCAGTTTATTTTCAAATAATACATTAAAATTTCACAATTTCTTTTATATTCAGGACAAGGATAGCATAAGAAGAAAAAAAAGTCCGATATTTCTGCCCCTATTTGGAAAAGCCTTATTGACCCTTAAGCCACATGGCTTATAAAGTGACATAACCAACATGTAAGTGCTTTATCTCATTTCATTATCTGAAAAAAATAACCTTCAGAAAATAGGATGTCTCCAAACGAAGTGCGTAAGAGGCACATGTTCACTAAGTGAATGAAAGCCCATGAAATTCAATAGAACTTCAGTAAATCACAGCTAAGCAATGGTGCCTAGTGCTACTGGGACTGGTAGAACAACAGATAGGGTTCACCAAGGGAGAACCAATCATATTTAGTTTGCTTCCCAGTTATATCCCATTACCTCTACTGTTTCAAAGGACTCTTATTACCTCTCTCCCAAATCCATGTTAGCTGGGAACACCTGGAGTTAAGTAGGCAGTGTCCCAGCCACCCAAACATCAGGACCACTCCTGCTATCAAGTGTGATATTTACCATATTTTGGATGCAATCCTATACAGCAGTGGTTCTTAACGTGGGCGATAATGCCCCCCAGGGGGCGATTTCATTTTTCAGGGGGGCGGTAGAAGGAAAAGGGGCGGTGTGGGGGCGCTGGAGCAGAAGGGGAGTGGTAGGGGGGCGCTGGAGAAAGCCAAACGTGTGAAGATGGCTGCAGCCTTTTTACAGTGTGCATGAATATATATTTTCCTCCAATTTTAATTTAGTTTCAGACTTTTTGTCTTGAAATTTTTAGTTCCTGCATTTGTTTTTATGCCCTTTTTATATTTCTTTTTGCGTCTTAAAATTCACTTGCAACTAAGTAATTAAATGTTAGTTTTGGGGGGGGCATTTCATTTTCTTGGAATTTAATTTTGTTTTCAGGGGTCATTGGATTTAAGTGTCTTAAACAAACAAACAAACAAACAAATAAGATATCATCACCGCAGGGAGGGGGGCGATGATAACTTCCTCAATGGCTCAAGGGGGCGTTTCTTTCAAAAAGGTTAAGAACCACTGCTATACAGTATGCATATTACCCAGGGACCTGATGTTTGGGGAATTCCAGAGCACCAGCCCCACCCCCACCCAAAAAAACCTCACCCTAACTATACACAAGCTGTGACTTTATTCTTATCCAGGGTACAGTACCACCTGAAACTCCGTATTTAAGAGAGGGTGAGCAGCATAGAACTGTGGAACAGCACCTTTCTATAGATGCACTGCAGCACTGTGAAAGGCTAACATCCAGTTATTGCCGCTGAAGCGCTTGCATCTGATAACATACTTAGAGAACAGCAAGACTGATAATGGGTTGAACGGCGTTTTCTGCCCAGGCAAGTTCTCCACACCAAAAGCAGTTTCATTATCTTGATACCTTGATATCAGTGCTTATCAAAAAGAGAATATCCCAAGGGAACATTTAGGGCACCAGGCCTTCCAAAAAACCCAACACCCAACATGTCAGAGTTTATCATTCTGGTTGCTTGGTGCCTTTGCATTCTGCTGTGAAAACCTCATTGTCGTCTAGATCCAGATTTTGGAATACTGGGGGACAAGAACTGCAACAACTATGGTCAGCAAAACTTTCCTGGAACTATGGCAACCACCTTCATAACCTCTAAGCACATAATACCTATAAAATACTGTCAGGAGATTTATAACTTACTTTTTGTTACCAAGGTATACCAGATGGAAGGCACCTGGAGCCAGGATGGCAAGGGGATGTACTATCTGTAAGGAAACCACACATTTACCTGGCAACCTTCCTTCTTTGTAAGAAGGGTTTCCAATGGTCTTGTGGGCAATGCAGGTGGGTGACCATGTTCCTTATTATAACTATGGGTTTGTATGTGTGTACACACATCCCTTGCTTTGTGGATACCCCCACTTGTGGCAAAATTTAATTCACTATAATACTGCATCCATCTGATGAAATTGACTGTCAATTACAAAAGTGTTATTTCCTAATGAATCTCCTAGTTCTTAAGGTGTCCCAAGAATCTTTGCTATTTCTATAGGGGAACAGATTAACATGCCTACCCCTCTGCAATTTGCAGTCTTCTGCATACTTACCTGGCACTAAGACTTAGCACTGCTGAGTATTTCCAAGTACACGTGTACTGCAGTATTAACTGAGACCATCCTTCTCTAAATGCTACCTGACGGTTATTCTAAATTGGGGTAGGCAGTTCGGTGCCCTTCAGAGGCATGGAACTACAACTCCCATCTGACCATGGGCCTGGGGAGTCCGAAAACACGGAAGGGCACCCCAGGTTGCCTACTCTGCTATGATTTATGCTCCTTGTGCAAGGTGAGAGCCACAAGCAGGGCACGAGTGGCCGCGTCAGGTAAGTCTGCCGCCATTCCTTGAAAGTCTTTCCTCAGGACTTGAAGCAGCCTTCGAAAGAGTTCAGGCAGCTGAAAACTACGGTCCCCAGAGTTCACGGCGACCTAGGGCTGTGTTTCCCAGGCGGACCTGGAGGCCATCCGTCCTTCCTTCCTTACCTTGAGGAGGTTATGCGCGGCTCGATAGCCAACCTCCCGCCCGCCCCGCACGCCGGGGGCCAGCTCGCCCGTGGCGTAGCCGTGCCAGGCCACGAGGTAAGGGTTGTCGAGGGTGAGCCAGTAGCGCACGTGGGCGCCGAAGTGCTTGAAGCAGAGCTCGGCGTAGTCGCGGAAGAGCGCGACCAGCGCGGGGTTCTCCCAGCCCCCGTAGCGGTCCTGCAGGTGCTGAGGCAAGTCCCAGTGGTAAAGGGTGACCACGGGCTCCACGCCGCGCTGCCTCAGGCCGGTGAGGAGGCGCGCGTAATAACGCAGCCCAGCGAGGTTGACGGGCGCCGTGCCGTTCGGGAGGAGGCGCGCCCAAGCCAGGGAGAAGCGGTAGTGAGAGACCCCCAAGAGGCTCAGCGCCTCGAGGTCGCGCCCGACGTGGTGGTAGCTGTCGCCGGCCACGTCCCCGGACGGCGGCGGCGGCGGCGGCTCCCCTGGGCTTGGGAGAGGCGCCGCTGCGTGGCGGTGCGCGAAGGTGTCCCACACCGAGGGCCCCTTGCCGTCCTGGCTCCAGGCGCCTTCCACTTGGTACGCCGCGCTGCCGGCCCCCCACAGGAAGCCCTCGGGGAAGGTGTCGTAGAGGAAGAGGGCGTCCTCGGGGAAGGGCAAGCGAGAGAAGCGCGACCAGGTGTCCGCTCCCTCGCCCGGCTCGCCGGCCAGCGGACGGCAAAACAGGACCAGGGCGAGGAGCAGGAGGAGGAGGAGAACAGACAGCGCGGGCCGCGCGGCGGGGGTCATGCTGCCGGGCAGCGAGAGGGATGCTGAGGAGGAAGAGGAGACGGACGAGGAGAAGCGCTGAGGGACGGCGGATCAGCCGGGCTGCCTTCTCTTTGCCCCCACCCCCACCCTGGGCAGCCCCCTTTATCTCCTGCCCTGCCCTGCCCTGCCCTCCCCGCTCCGCTTGTAATCATTACCTCGGACGGAGGTGGGGAGTCCCTTTGCTTTCTCCCGCGCGTGAAGGAGGAGGGAGGTCAACCAGGTTGGTCCCGAGCACCTAGTGAGGGAAGAGAGCGGGAGGAAAGCGGCTCCCGTCCTCGCTCGCCTCTCCAACAGAACTCGCGTCTCCCGGGGAAGTGTCAGAATTGGGAGACAGGAGTTCACTAGCTTTGCCAGTCAAACTTTTGCGGGTGTGCTGTGGTCTTTGGTCTCTAAGCAAGCTTCCCAACTCCTGAGGGGCAGCAGCTGTTCACGGTATAGGATTGTCTGTCCGCCTCGGATTAAATTTGGGTGAACATCTCTCTCCCGTCGTAGCACCATAGCTTAACTCTCTGCTTTCCGTGTTTTACGTTTAATGGTATGGCCGAGAACCGCTTCAGTTGTTACTTGTTTGTTTGTTTGTTCAGTCGTTTAGTCGTGTCCGACTCTTCGTGACCCCATGGACCAGAGCACGCCAGGCCCTCCTATCTTCCACCGCCTCCCGGAGTTGTGTCAAATTCATGTTGGTTGCTTCGATGACACTGTCCAACCATCTCATCCTCGGTCGTCCCCTTCTCCTCTTGTCTTCACACTTTCCCAACATCAAAGTCTTTTCCAAGGAGACCTGTCCGTCTTGGGTGGCCCTGCACGGCATAGCCCGTAGCTTCTCTGAGTTACTCAAGCCCCCTCGCCATGACAAGGCAGCAATCCATGAAGGGGCAGTTGTTACTTACCCGTGTAGATTTAACATCGAGCGGTATAATAATTCAGACTCAGTAACTCCGACTCCCATTCAGTTGTTGTATCAACATACTGTAATAGACTTCTCAAGTTACACTTTCCTATCCTTGTTTCATTTAAACCCAAAAGCCTTGAAGTTTTTAAGTCATTAAGTTTAAAGTGCAAATAAAACACTATCCTAGGTGAGATGTACAAAATAATTTGCATGTGGCAATGAGCCCAGTAGCCATACTCAGATGTTCTCAAGAGATAATGTTACTATTTAACTTGGTAGGCATTATGATGAGATAGATTTACTTTTAGGCAATGTATTTGCACATGGAAAAAACCCAAGTAGTTGTGAGTATTCAGAGTATTTCAGTAAGCATCTGTTTTGCATTTTGTTTGAAATGTTTCATGAGAGATCACAAGTTGGTTTTAGGTGCACAGTTGTTGTCCTGGTTCTAGCCTTGGTATTCTTGGAGATGACCAGAAGCACACTCTTTTTCTCTTATTATGGCGGAAAGGTGGAAGGCAGCAGGAAAAAAGGAAGACCAAAGTATGAGATTAATTGACTCCCTAAAGGAAGTCACAGGGTTGAATTTGCAAGAGCTGAGCAAGGATGTTGAAGACAAGATATTTTGGAGACTGCTCATTCATGGGGCCATCATACGTTCGGGGCAACTTGACAGCACATAACAACAACGTGGTAGGGTTTAGTTTTGTTGATTCTGATTCCCTACCCAACCCCATGTGTAAGGTGGATAAAGCGGATGGTAAAACATTTGTGAACTTTGCTGAGCATCAGTAATTATTTAAAAAAAAAAAAAAATTAAATGGCTGACAAGCTTATTGGTTTAGGGTTAGTGGTCTCTTTCAGTCCCTGGGGATCTGAGAAAGAAGAGTGGCTGTGTCTCTACTTACATTTGGAGAAGTATACATGGTTCTTAAAGTCAGATTCTTTGAACAGAAACACCTTGAATCAATAAGAAATAAATAATAGGCCTGGAAAAACATTTTCCTGTGTTTTTCGGAGGGGGGGCAGAAATAGCAAAACTACTACAACAATTAATTGGCAGATGGAAGTGTAGCATATTTGATATGGTGTGTTTTAAATTTTGTTTTATATTCGGAATGTAAGCCATCCAGAGTAGATTCACTGATGGATGGATGGATGGATGGATGGATAGATAGGTAGATAGGTAGATAGGTAGATAGATAGATAGATAGATAGATAGATAGATAGATAGATAGATAGATAGATAGATAGATAGATAGATAGATACCAAGACAAAATTTGTAGGAACCAAGAATTGTATTTGATCAGCAGCTACCATGTATAAATGCTGTACAGGACCTTATTTGAGGTAGCTGGAAGATTCAAGAGACAGACAAGTGTCAGTCAATCTTCAGCTACAGAGTATTGCAGTGAATTGCAGGGGACTCAATCCAGTGTTAGTCTCAACTAAAGTAGATCTGAATAAATGAAACCTATGTGACTTGTGGTTTATTATTCTTTTCCTTGGGTCTGCTCTAGTTGGCACTAAAATTAGATTTAGCATGGAGAGACAAGACGATTTGCGTACCTTACTGTCTGCTGGTAATGAAGTAGGGTGTTGTGAGGTGATGAGGTAAAAGACCCAGAAAGGGCAAAGTTGCTGCTGAAATAATTTGCAGCCATTGAAGCAAAGAAAGTACAAAAGTACAGAGCCTAACACTCCCACTGGGCTTATCTACAAGGACTATAGCCGCATCCCCATGGATGGGGGGATTATATTGGCTTTCAGCTCTGTGCAAATTTTATCCACATAGGAACCAGTTAAGGGGTAACAGCTATAGGCTGGACATCCCCAGTATCTCTCCTGAGCATGACCCCTTTTGCCACTCCTGGTTTGTGCAAAAACACTGCCTTATATTTTTGTAGAAGAGTAGACATCTCCTCTTTTAGTTCTCAGGACAGAGCAGGGCTAAGGACCACAACCTCAGGGTTATTTTTAGACTCCCCCCTGCCTTCCCAGCATATTAATTTTTGTTTTTCTTCTGGGTTTTCCTTCATAGTAAATAAAACCAGGTTTTTTTTCCTGTAATATGGTTTTATCATATTTACATGGACTACTTTGCAATTTTCATCCCCTCTCTGGAGAATGTAATTGACTGAACTCATTTTGGAGACCATGGTGTACGGTCTTTCCCAAGCTAGATGATGCTTATTCCCGTTTATAGGACTTAATATTAGTATTTCCTCTCCAGTACTGAACGTTCTTTTTCTAGCTTTTCTGTCATACAAAGTTTTCTGTTTATTTTGGGCACCTTTCAAATTCTCCCGTGCTATTTCTAGGGATCTTTGTAAGGTATTCATCAAATTGTCCACGTATTCTACCATGGAATCAGGGTCCATTTCTTTATAATCCTCCCGTTCTGTTGTAACAAATCTAGCAGCCCACATACTTTTTTGCCAAACAGAAGTTCAAACGGACTGAATCCTGTGCTTTCTTGGGGAACATCTCTACACTCATAAAGTAGGGATTGTACTTTATTGTCCCAATCACTAGGATTTTCTGCCACATATGCCAGTATCATCCCGATAAAAGTTCCGTTGAACTTTTCTATTAGTCCATTCGTTTGTGAATGGTAAGGGGACGATTTTACACAGGAAATTCCACAGATTTGCCACAGCCTCTTTATTAATATGGATGTAAAGTGGATTCCTGTATCGGTGGCTATCTCAGATGCAAAACCCATTCTACACATGTAACTGACTAAAGCATCCACTACCATCTCGGTCTCAATGTTATGTAAGGGTACTGCTTCTGGGTACCTAGTGGCAAAATCAATAATAGATATAATGTACTGGTTTCCCGGTCTGGTGGCGCAGGGTAAGGGTCCTACTAGATCCAAACCCAAACGTTGGAATGGGGTCAGAATAACTGGTAATAGGCACAGCTTATCCCTAGTTTTGTCATTTACAGTACCTCTCCTTTGGTACGTATCACACGTTTGACAATACTGCCTAATTTTCTGACACATTCTTGGCCAATAAAAGTTTTTTGCAACCCTTTGTTTAGTGCGAGATACACCCATGTGTGCTCCAAACACATCTTTATGAGCTTTCTCTAAGATCTCCTGATATTTCACAGGAACAATTAAATGAGATGTCCATCTCTACCCCTATGAGGTGCTAATAAAAATTCTCTATATAACAGGTTTTTATCAACCTTAAACCTCTCTGGGTGTTCAGGTAATGGGAAGGGAGATTCCTTTGCTTTTCGAAACACTGAATCAGGGTGGTATCTTTCTTTTGTTCTCTAATAAAGGATGAACTATTAGGATTTTTCAATAACACCACTTCAGCAATTTCTTCTATATCTCGATTTTCCTCTAAGCTGGGATTTTCCAGGTCGGTTTCAAAGGTTAAGGATCCGAATCTTTCCTCAGGGACTGTAAACTGCTTACCCTGGGAGCAAGTTACTACATAAATACTCTGCACATGTTTGGAGAGAACTAAACCGATTTAACAAGGAGCTGGGATCTGATCAGATACAGCAACTTTCCATTCTCCAACCCATCTCTGATCATTTATTTTTACACCAGCCATGGGTAAAACTACAGGATCAGAAGTAATGCCTTTGATAGTAATGGTCTCATTTTCTATCATCTGTTTTATGAGAACCACGTCTGGGTGACATAAGGTTAAAGTGCAAGCATGTATCTTTGATACCTAAATACTTTATATCATTGATTTAAAAAATCCACTCCCCTGAGCTCTCCAGAAATGCCTGGTCAGATTTAATAAGGAAACATTGTAGCAATTGGGCTTCTGGTAGTTCTGACTTTTTGCCAAGTCAGTTGTCATGGTAACAGAGTAACCGTTACTGTTCCAACTGCCATGGGCTCCATAGGCTTCATGCAAAACACTTTTCTGTGCTGACAGTCAACTTTATTATCAGTTTTATTTTTGTTATTTTTCACACAATTATTTTCACACAAAAATGTTTTGCATATCTGCAGTTGAAACATTGTTTATTAGCTCTACGCATAATATAGAGGACCTGTCAAATTTTCCTTCAAAGTTAATTTTTTTGTGGTCTTGTTTCTGAAAACATATGTTTGGTTTTAAGCTGGCTCTTTTTATCTGACATTTGACTGAGGTAATTCTTATTAGACTGCTTGCTGTTGTCCCAACCCTGTCTATAAAATTTTACTTCAGAAAACCTAGAATCTCTGATCCCACTAATAAAGTCAGCATATTCAGATACTTGTTATATATTTTTCGGTTCCTTATCCTTTACTAAGTATCGAAGTTCCCCTGGTAAAATAGAAAAAAATTGCTCCAACCCAAATACATTTTTCATTTGGTCTAAGGAGGTTACATGTTCCTGTTCTAGCCACTTATTCAAAAACTGATTCATACGCACACCTAATTGGGCAAATGATTCATCAGCTTTCTTAGTAATTGAGCTGAACTTCCACCTGAGGTGTTCTGTGTCAATCCCAAATCTGGAATATACAAGTTTTCTTTAAGCCTCAAAATTCCTTGCTTCTTCCAGAGACATCTGAGAATATATTTCTTCTAAAACTCTTCCTAAGATCTTAAAATGACCATTCTTTCCTCATCTTTAATTCCAAAATCCCCACAAGCTCTTTCAAATGAGATTAAGAATTCAGGGCAATCTCCTTGTCTATGCTGAGGGGATTTCTTTAAATCAATCTTGGGGGAAATAACATTCACACTTGAATTGTTATTGTTATAAGTTCCTCAGGTCTCTCCTCTTGAACTTGAGGGTCTCAATTTCCCTCAGCCTCCTGAGGTTCAACTTCCTCCATGACTGATTTTTTTGTTCTTTTGGGGGGCATATTTGAGTTAAAGTGGACTGGGTTTTTACTTTCTTTTACTATTTTTAAAAGGACCTTTCTTTCAGCTGTTTTTCTAGTAATTATGTTGTGCTTTACTTAGCAACTCTCTCTGTCTGCTCTCCAGCTCACAACCTTCATTACTATGTTTCCTTATCTGAGCAATTTCTGCTTCCAGACACCAGAATAATTTTCTTTTTAGCTTTTTATTTTCCTATCACCTCAGATCTGCCCTGATCCTGTCTTCCATTCTTATCCACCACTGCTCCCTTTCTCTCAGAGCTCCAGATTTTGAGCTAGCCCACTGGATCTCTCAAATCCTGAAGTAAAAAGGAAGTTTTCTTTAGAGCCAGTTCCCTATCTTAAGTTCCCAGACCTGGGTTCAGAAGCCCCGCCATTAAGCCTTTCCACAAAAGCTCTAGCAGGTTACCCACTTCTTTACCACAGATCCTAACTAAAAAGGTACCCACGACTCCAGAAAATTAACTTTCAAACTTTGGTTTCACTGGATTGCTTCGTATCCTGCCGCTGTACACCAATTGTGCTGTGCCCCTTGTGTGTTCCTGGATTATTTCACTAATCTAAGGCCCACACCATGTTCTTATTTACGCTGCCACTAGTTGATCTCTGTCAACATTATTTACTTGGAAAGACTGAGGTCCATACTCCATGTAACTTTTAATATTGATTGATTGATTGATTGATTGATTGATTGATTGATTGATTGATTGATTGATTGATTGATTGATTGATTGATTGATTTGATTTGATTTGATTTGATTTGATTTGATTTGATTTGATTTGATTTGATTTATACCCCGCCTATCTGGACTACTCATCCACTTTAGGCGGCTGTTTTAACAAAAACAGGTTTATTGGATACAGTTCAAATCTTCAGTTTCACATAAGTAGATTCCTAAAAGACGTTAAAGCTTTCAGTAGTTTCATAATAACTTATTCCACATTTAACTTTCTCTGTGTTCCACACTCTTAACTCCCCACTGACAATCTACTCTTCCTCTCTGCTTCACCCCCTCTTTTTTCCCCACTGGCTCCGCCTCCCAACATGGCAATATATTCATGCATATGCATAGGCAGGGTGATCGATACAGAGACTGACACTCTGCAGCCACGGGTAAGCACCAGTTTCTTATTCCTTCTTTTGTTGATCAAATGTGTATATTGGCTATGAAAAAAGTAATTTGCAAAGCATGGGAAGTTACTTTTAAGAAGAATTAATCTAATAGGCCCCAGACTATAATCCAAATGTTGTCCAGTTATGGTTTCAGCATGTCATTATAAAGAAAAAGGTTGGATATAAATGTAACAAAGTAATTAATAATACTGTACATACTAATTCTTTATAAAAATAAGAATTATTTCAGTAACTTGCAATGGAGTAAAAAAAGCTATAGAGGACTAATGTATCAAAATACAGGGCTCAAATTGGAAGGTTCCAGTGGAAGACTACTTTGTTGGAGATGACATTTTGGTTGGTCTTTAGGTGCTTTGCTTGGAATTGAGATTTATAGAAGTTGATTCATCTCCAGGACAAATCAAGATCAAGGTACAATTGACTGTTTTTGGCAATTAAGCAGTTTGAGAACTCTGATACAAGACTGAGCCAGTTATGGTGAGTTTGGGATGTTTCTAAGTTTGAAAAACATTTTAGCACTTTGTGTCTTGGGGGTGGAAAGAGGTGAGGGAAGCAAACATGTCTCAATTAAGGACGCTCTAAGTATCATTTGTGAACCCAAAGGGGGGGGGAGGCAAAGCCCAAATGGACTACTGTCCTCATGTAACCAAAGGTGTACCTTGGACTGAGACAGTGAAGAGGCAGATGCTGGCCATTTTATTGCTTGCACTGATAATGTAACTGAGGATAATTTTTCTGGGGCAGAAAACATATATCAGTAAGGGGAAAATAAATAGGTAACCATGAAATGCCCTGTATGCTTTTAATTTTTAATCATGTTCATTAACTTGTTTCTAAGAATTGTAAGTTATCTGGAGTGGATCGGGGCAGGCAGATTTTATATATATACCCTGTTTCCCCAAAAATAAGACCTAACCTGGAAATAAGCCGTATTGTGATTTTTCAGGACGGTCGTAATATAAGCCCTACCCCCAAAATAAGCCCCAGTCAAGTGAAAGCCCTCCCTCCACCATTGTGCAGCAACCAGAAGAAGATGGCATGAATGTATTTGAATAAATGTAGATTATTGTACATTAAAAAAAAATAAAACATCCTCTGAAAATAAGCCCTAGTGAGGTTTTTGGAGCAAAAATTAATATAAGACCCTGTCTTATTTTGGGGGAAACACAGTATATATGGTTGTGTGGGGTCCTAACCTGCCTGTAGGGCTTCAGTCTAAAAGGACTTTGTGACCATTTAAAAAAAACCCTGAGAAGTGGCAAGTTTATAAATTTCTGGACAGAAGAGACACAAGCTGATTGGCAGTGCCTCTTGACTGACAGCATTTCTGCAGGAGAAAGCAAGCCTCAGAAACTTGTAGTTCATTAAAATGTGATATGCTAATAGATGGATTCTGTGATCTACCTGGTGAGATCTACAAATGTCTCAAATTTCAAACCTATCTGATAAACACTAAAACAGCTGCTGCAGGCTAAAAGTCTTGAAAATTTAAACGTCAGTCCTTTTTCCCTCCAATTTTCGGAAAGGAACATCATGTGTTTCTGCCAAATATTTGGGAAAATGACTGATGTCCTTTATTTAGGCTCATTGTGACCTCCTTCAGACATTAACATGGGCAGGGAAATGACATGAAAATGTGGCACGTTTGCTGTGTGGTGTCTCCCCCTAAGCAAAAATATCAGTGAAACATGTACAGGTTCGTGAGACCAGTTTTCAAGACAGTTCGGTTAAGCAGTAGAAAATTGTAGATTTCTAAAAAAAATTCGTTCTTTGGATTTGAAAACTGTGTTCATTTCACACCATTGTCAGATGCTTTCCTGGTAAATAATGTTTTAAAAGAAGTACCCATCTTTGATTACTCAGATTATTGAACAGGTGAGTTTTGCATATACTATCGGACAATGCTGATGGTTGTGTCATTTTTACTTCAAATCGGTGTGAAGCGGGCAGAGCCGTGGACACTCTTGTCATCAAGCTGCTGCATTCTGACCCAGAATTCATGCTCACCACCTGGGCTCCTGTTGAGCCACCAGTAAGGTGTCCCACACAGGAACCTGAAGAAGGAGATGAAGTTACCTGTCACAGGACCCAAATGAGAGGCCTTTGTGCTTATGTCAGCCCTGGGGGCTCACTGAGAGAGTGGAGGGATTTACTCTACCTCTGATGCATGGCAGATACAAAGGGGGAGAGAGGAGGAGAAAGACCCGAGGAGACTCTTAACAGAGAGGAAGCATGCTGTCAAATGGACCCTGAGAAGGGAGTGGAAGACACTAAGGAGGAGAAGTCCCCAGTGGAGTTCCTGGGGGGAGACCCAGCAACAGGTAACTGGGGAGAAAAAGCAAGGGGCCTCCAGGGAACTGGAGAAAGAAGACCCTGAGGAAGGTGCCTGGGGAGACAACCAGGTCTGCAACATACTGGGTCAAGAGGTCCCTAGACAAAGAGCCAGGACCCCCAGGGAATTGGGACTACCTTTATAAGACCCCCTGCAGACGGGTTCTTGTGCACAAGCAGCAGGTGCCCAAGAGGGAAGGGAAAAAGCATGAACACCCTTACTCCCTTACCACCCTTTGTACTAGAGAGAAATGAGAGGAAGGCAGCGCTGAAGTCAGGAGAGCCAACTCGAATGCAAAACTCATTGCTGGTGCAGGAAAAAACAGCAAGAGTGCCAGTGCCAAGAGAGATCCAGAGAGAACAATTCAGGAAATTGATACAGGTGTGGGTCTCCACTAGGAAGTTCTTCCCACCCCTGCCTGCATTGCAGGCTGTTCTGTAGTGGGTTCTAGACCAATAAAGAGCCACATACACAATAGTAATTCCACTCGGTTTACTACAAAATGGACGAAAAACACACATACACACACATATATAAAACCACCGCCCCATTGGAGGGTTTCCGACTCGCCCTTCTCTATTGGCTAATTGCCCAGCGTCCTTGGTAATTGGAGGAGGGAAAGTTATCCTCTGAGGCTGTTATCCTAGGGAGCCAAGCTCAACCACCTGGCTCCAACTAAAACCTGGAGAGGACAATAGTGGAGTTGATCTTAAGACATAACACAGGCGTACTGACCCTCATTGGTAGGAGTGGTCTGGAGGCAAGGAAGCCCTGGGTTGGGGGGCTCACAAACATTCCTGCCAAGGACTCCAGTGATAGAAACTGGACTCACAGGACAGATGTCTTGTCTCCCAAGGAGAGGACCCAGGGAGAGAGAAAATGAGAACTGTGTCCATGCATCGGTGCCTCAAACTAGGATCAGGACTGTGGATTTAGTTTTACCCCTTTTGAACCATTCCCTCTTCCAAGTTACAGTAAATCCAGTTGAATTGGAACAACCCGTGTAGTGCTTTTATGGATCACAGAATGGATGAGGGATGGCCTGCTAAAGTGGAGAGGGCTGGCAGGGCTCACACTCAATAAATCATTTAAATCACTTGTTTTAAATCGTTTAAACTGATGGTTAGTCTGGTAGACCAAGAGGAAAGTTAGACATTAATCTTGTTTATGAGGAATGACCAATGTGTGGCCCACCAGATGTTGTTGAACTTCAAGTCCCATCATCCCTGACCATCAGTTGTGCTTGCTGATGCATTTCCAAAATATCTGAACAGCCTCATGTCCTACCCCTCCCTATTATACACACTTACCTCAAGTCCAATTGAACTCCATGGTAGAAACTTCTAAGCAGACATATATAGGATGATCCTGTTAAAGTGCACATGTGAGTTGCCACACATTCAGGAATATAGCTGACATTTTCTCCAGTGGCTGAAGTCTCCTCAGTACTGTATGTGAGCCTTTGGGAGGAGCTTTATGTCATTTTCCTCCATTTTCTGTCTCTAGAAAGAGCCCCACTTTCAAAGACTTCTAAAATAATTTACTGAGAAGTGTAGAGATTGCTGGGCTGGGAAGATACAGCCTCTTGACACAGTCTTAATCCTTGCTGTCTCTGAGTCCAGTGATCAAAGTGCAGTGGAGAAACAAGATTTTTTTCAATAAGAAATTATATTATTCCTGCAGTCTTCATAACTCCAAGAGTCTGTAACTTTGAATTTGGTAAGTTGCCATTGTTAATGTTATAGTTTTAACTAATATTTTTGCAAATAAGGCTCTAGCACATCAAGATACTGTAACACCAAGATCCTGGAATGCAAGAATACTATAGCTATTGGACTTGTAAAACTCCATATTTACACATTGCAACATAAGCACTGTCAGTTGTCAGGGCTGTTATGGTATAGTGACTGTCACATACAGCACTGATGGTACCTGTCTGTCATGGGTTTGGAGGGAAAGTTCCATCCTATGGGGAGTGGAAGGCGGGACATCAGGGAGGAGGAGCTGTACTGTATATATATGTGGAGCTTGTGTGGAGACGTTTAGAAGAAGCTGGAGTTGGGGTCTGTGTGGCTCAGCTGGAGAGCGGGCTGATTGGTTTGCAATGACTATAGTAAACTGTTGTTCAAGCCTCGACTGTAAAAGCACTTTCATTTTTAGGGCTACTTCTTCTGCACATATCCCTGAATTATATTAACACCTGAAACACACAAAAGTTCACATCTTGACAATAGTACAATCTCTTGCACTAGCACTGCAGACAGGAGACTACTTTAGTGGATTATTTGCTGTACCTCATCTCCTAGCACCTGCCTTCTGAAGAAGATGCGTCACTTTGCCTAATGATAAATGATCTGAAAATTACAGGTCTGAAAGCCCAGACATGATTAACTTTCAGTTGTTATGAATCTCCAGATGATATTGGATTCAAACTCCCACCAACCTGAATCATTGCTCTTGCTGGCAGAGATGGAATCCAGCAATATTCAAAGATTGGTGCCTGATCATGATTGATCATGATTTATCATGATGTTGACCCCCCCCCCGCTCTATCAATGTAATTCTTGAAATTTTTGTAATATTTTTCATAGAAAGAACACTATTAGAAGCAGAAATCACGTTAGTACTCCAGTTACATGATTCTAGCTTTGTGTCCGAGCAATTGTAATTGCAAACAAAGCCAATTTTACCTCCTGATGACCAATCACAAAACAAAACAAGCTCATCTGAGAATAATAGGAAGTAAGATAAGCTCCTGCTGTAACAATCACAAATCTATTGGCACTTAATTATCTGCCCTAGTGATTTATTGGCCGAAAACTTATTGCCATAACTTAATGCCACATAAGGCTGATGATATCAGCAGCAGTGATTTTTCAGAAACTGAAACATTTCTAACTTCTGCCTTAAAGTTCCCAAGAGTTCCATGTAATCCCTTTAATCATTGGGAAGCTGTGGAAGCTGCAGGACAAGGAGGGACAAATCTTTCATTAAGGTCATTTCAGCAATAAAAGTCACCCTGACCCTTCGGCAGGACAAGGAGGGACAAGTCTTTCATGAAGGTCATCCCACTGATGGTGATTTTCAGCAATAAAAGTCACCCTGACCCTTCACGTGTGTTCCACAGCTACCCAAGAGT